ATTAATTAATTAATTAATTAATTGCCCTTCTTTGAGGGAGATGTACAGTTTAGAAAGGAGATATAAATGAATGAATGAATAAATAAAATAAAATTAATTATACATGCCTTGAGCAAAATTACATGAGACATTATTAAAAGCTGTGGAATGCCTCATTATATTTTTTTGTAATTTTGGACTGTTGGAATAAAAAATGCATATGCTAATAATTTCTCACCACAAAAGCAATGAATATCTTGATAGATTTGACCTATAAGAACTCTTATTCACACCTTTTCATTTCCAGGGAATTATTTCAAGAGGAAAACAAAAAAGCAAAAGATTATCTTGAAGCAGCTTCAAAGTACAATTCTGATTTGCAAGAGAAATGCAACAAGTGAGCAGAAAAGTGGGGATGTATTTTGCATAAGTAAACATATAATTAATCTTCTACAGATTCATTTCTGAAAGATGAGAATTTCTAGGCAAGGGAGTAATTATCCTTGGACTATGGTGCATTATCTATTTGAAGCAGATTCAAAATGTAAATTTTAGGTATCTATACCATCTATTAGGATACAAGCAACAGTCGAAATTTAATTGAAGAAACAATATGTTATTGAAGTACTCTAAAACAAAGATAACCACCTCTACCATCTACCAGGATTCCTACTCCTACAAGTTTTATTTATAATTATAAAAACTTCGTTTAAAAAAAATGAAAACACGGCCACTAGCTTTCTGTCTCCTTTTGTTTCCTTTATATTTACTTCTATTTTAATCCTATTTACATTGTTTAACTTCAAGTATTTAATTTACTTCAGGCTAAGATTAGAGCTGGAAGTCTTTGGGATGGAGGATGGCAGCATTAATGAAGATTAGTTTGTCGTCCACCATACTGCTGCACAGGAAGAAATGTAATACTTTTAATGCATTCTTTAAAGCTGTTATTTAACAGTTAAGGTACTTCCATACTGTCTATAAAGCAGGACGGGAGCAGCCATTTATCTGGAATTTTAAAATAAGAGAGATTGTTAACACAATAAGACTTTTAAATAAAATTAGAATGGAATGAACTCTTATCCCAAAATTTCTAGGCTGCAACCTAAGTGCCCTTGCTTTCTACTTAGAAATGTAAAGGAGCCAGCACTCCTGCATTCAAGGACCAATATTGAAAAGTTTGGAATCTTATGCCACACTAGATATGAGATCATGGGCACAAAATGAAACATTGGTTTCTGAAAATTTTAATAATTAATTTCTATTCACTCACTCTGATGTACCATTCATCAAGTAGGGCCTGCCCTCTGGAATGAGGTTCCCTTGAGATCTGGATGGTCTCTATCTTGCAGGTGTTTTGAAAAACACTGAAGATTTGGTTGTTTGCCAAGACTTTTGGCCAGGCTGATTGAAGTTCCCATTTAGGTTGTGTGGATGGGGGGTTTTATTGTTGTTGTTTCTATCTGTTTTCATCATTTTGCTATCTTTTACTCCTTTATTTTTATTAATTTTTTTCCCCTTGTTTTATTTTTTATTTGTGAATTGACCAGAGTTGCTGGAAGATGAGCAATATATAAATCTCATAAAACAAATCAATCAATAAATACAGTCAAAGCCCCAATAAAACATTGAAATGCTGCAGCTGTGAGGAGATAGTGAACAGTCTTTCTCAATGGGAAGGAACTTTTGCTTTCCCTTACCTCCTGATTTCTTGAGTTTGCCACTTGTAGTGGATCTTTCAAAGGAAAGACGCCCTGATGGCTTTGCAGCTTCCTCTCCACTTGGATTTGCCCATGACCAGACAAAAGTATAACGTACGAGAATTTATATGAAAGCAATTTATTGTATTGATCCACTGTGAAGTTGGCAGAAGAGCAGTCCAGATCTTCAAACTGCTTCTGAGGAAATGGTAGTGTGGCAGTGTTCTTAGGCCTATCTTGATTTAATAAACGCTAAAATTATTTTTTCCTCGATCCATACAAGGATAGAGGAAAGATTAAAAGACTATAGAAATATTTTCTTAATTTTATATCTCTCTCTATTCCCATCCCCATGATAGGTTTGTGTGTACAGGAGGAACTTTGCTTTAGCACTGAGAGAAATCATCCCTGTGGAATATTGGATGTCTTGCTTCACTCTTAAATTTGTGGCAAACCATTTGCTGTTAATAAATTTCCGTTACCTCTGCTGTCATGAAAATGGTTCAAGGGGATTTTTTGTTTATTTCTTGATGTTTATGATGCAAAGTACCTCTAGATCAGCAACGTTAAGATGTGTGGACTAATATTTTGGCTGGAGAATTCTGGGAGTTAAAGATCACACATCCTAACGTTGCCAAGGTTGAGAAACAGTGATTTGGATATTAGAGCTTTACAAATCATTTGAAACAGATGCTGCACAAAGTGCATTAACAATAAATTAAAGATTTGTCATCAAAGCATTAGCATAGTGTTCTTTTCAAGATTTGCACACCTATTTCAAATTTCATGTGTTTATACCACCAATATTTCTTGGACCCCAACAAAAAAATACAGCCATCCCACACATTTGCAAAGGCACAGCTATTTTAATGCTCCAAACAGATATCCTTCATTTGCACAAATGTACTTTACAGTACAAAGTAGCCCTTTTGAATACTTTACATAGCCTTTCCATACAAAGAAAATAATCATTTGAAGTTAATATGGATTTTTATTAGTATTTATATTGCCTATGTGTATTGTAGATACAGCAAACTTTCCCCAATCAAGTATCTTCTTGATGCAACATGATTTGGTTATTATGGCAGGAACTATGAAAATTACACTCTATCCCTTAAAAATTAATAGTGCACTCTTTTGAATTACTGTTATCTTCAATTAAACAATTTAAACTTTTTTTTAAAGTGCTAGCACAATCAACTTCTCTTGAAGAACGAAAAGAAAAATATTAGAAGGTACATTCAAATTGAAAGTACGTTAAATTGCTGCAAGGGCAAAATTTTCACGTCTTGTATTTTTTTCCTTAATTTTTTTTTTAAATTTAAAACCCATATATTATCACTAAAAATTATTCACATAAAAATGACCTCCAAATGTAAAATCACAGCAATAAGCTGGATGGACTAAGTTACAGTGGTAATGAATGTTGGGAGATTTGCAAGAACAAGTTAGGGATAGAGCATCAGGGAGAAAATTTAAATGGTTGCTAGGCATCGAAAGCAACCTGATAGCACATAATCAATCAATATATGAAAACAACTATACTGTAATTGGAATCCATGTTTCAATCCTTAGTACCGTAGTTTGCATTATGGATTCCACAAACTAAACAGGCAGGAAGAATGAAATCCTTCCATGGCATGATCTGTTGACCTGTACAGAGTTATTAGGTTTGCCATAATCTGAGATTCTGGTTTGTTTGTATAAGGGTTGTTGTTTTTTTTTGAAATGTGAACTGCCCCTATCAGAAACTCAGTGCTTCAATTGCTTAAGGTCAAGTCCAGCAGTAAAAAATAATTCAATCCAGTGTTCTGTTGCCAATTTGTTAACAAATAACCTCTAGTCACCGAAGCAGAGGGAGAGGTATGAGAATAGTCTTTATTGATGGTCCAGGAAGATAAAGACATTATTTCGCTTTTTCTTTCTTCTGTTCATCTGGAGCTAAGTAAGTCAAAACGTATTACTCTACAGCCTTATTCTGCAAATAACATGTTATATCCTTTTATCTTAGCACAGCTATTCTGAGGTACTTAGGGCTATCAGACCTGATCAACATATCAAAATGTAGTTATTGTTCTGATTTAATAGTCAACAATTCAGTTCAAAATCCAAGGCTGTTGATAAATATCATACACCCAATTTTAATGAGAAATATTAGAAAAATTAATCACATCATGTATCATGCTGGTTACATGGTCACATCCCAACTAAAACATTTGCTGACTATGAAAGGGTACTAAGGTAAATCAGTCTGAACAAATATATTTTAATTTCATTGGAAAAAAGAAAAAAAACAAACTCAAAAATAGCTGCTATAATTTCAGATATCTTGAGATAATACTTGCAAAAAAGCTGAAGTAGTTTAGAAAAAAGAATATCGATCACTTGTTTAGGAAATTAAAATGAGAATGAGGGGTCCTTGGTGCTCACAGCTTGGTTGTTTTCTTGTAGATGTTTCATTACTCAAACATTACTCAAACTAACATCATTAGTACTACCATAGTATGGAGTGGAGTTGGGTCTCATTTTATATTCTAGTGGCTTGTCCTGTTAGCATTGGTAGGAGTGGTCTCAAGTGGAATCAGTAGCACTCCCACATATATACAACCCAAAATATGGATCAGGTTTATAGTTGATACCTTTACTATAATAGAAAAGGACCAACTAGAGAACACATATGAAACTATCCACAACATCTT